GGAAATCAGAAATGAAATTCAAGATTTCTCTAAACTCATCGTTTGCTTCATGTGCACTTCCTTGTGTGTAATAAGAGATTATTTACACCTGAAGAATTGTTCACAGATTGGACATTTCAAATGTTTCTCCCACGTTGATACATGATGTATAAGGTTAGACCCAATACTGAATTTTTTTCCAAAATCTGGGTACTTTTACGGTTTCTCTCCTGTATGCGTCCTCTGGTGTTTTACAAGCAGAGAAGTGTAACAGAAACTTTTCCCACACTCTCGACACTCATGCGGTTTCTCTCCTGTGTGAGTCCTCTGGTGTATCACCAGGTGGGAATTTTGACTGAAACTTTTCCCACAACCAGGACATTCAAAGGGTTTCTCTCCTGTGTGAGTCCTCTGATGTCTCACCAGGAGGGAATTTGCAACAAAACCTTTCCCACAAAGTGGACACTTAAATGGTTTCTCTCCTGTGTGAGTCCTCTGGTGTATCACCAGGAGGGAATTCTTAGTGAACCTTTTCCCACATTCAGGACATTCAAAGGGTTTCTCTCCCGTGTGAGTCCTCTGGTGCATCACGAGGTGGGAATTCTTAGTGAACCTTTTCCTACATTCAGGACACTCATAGGGCTTCTCTCCTGTGTGAGTCCTCTGGTGCATCACCAGATCAGAATTACGACTGAAACTTTTCCCACATTCAGGACATTCAAAGGGTTTTTCTCCTGTGTGAGTCCTTTGGTGTATCACCAGGTTAGAATGGGAAGTGAAACGTTTCCCACAAACTGGACACTCATATAGTTTCTCTCCGGTGTGAGTCTTCTGGTGCTTTACTAGGTTGGAATTTGCAACAAAACGTTTCCCACAAAGTGGACACTCATACGGTTTCTCTCCTGTGTGAGTCCTCTGGTGTATCACCAGGCTGGAATTGAGACTGAAATGTTTCCCACATTGAGGACATTCAAAGGGTTTCTCTCCTGTGTGAATCCTCTGGTGCATCACCAGATCGGAATTATGACTAAAACTTTTCCCACATTCAGAACATTTATAGGGTTTCTCTCCTGTGTGAGTCCTCTGGTGCATCACCAGATCGGAATTACGACTGAAACTTTTCCCACATTCAGGACATTCAAAGGGTTTTTCTCCTGTGTGGGTCCTTTGGTGTATCACAAGGTTAGAATGGGAAGTGACACTTTTCCCACAAACTGGACATTCGTATAGTTTGTCTCCTGTGTGAGTCCTCTGGTGCATCACCAGAGAGGAATTACGACTGAAACTTTTCCCACAATCAGCACATTCAAAGGGTTTTTCTCCCATGTGAGTCCTCTGGTGGTTTACTAGGTCGTAATTTGCAAAGAAACATTTCCCACAAAGTGGACACTCATACGGTTTTTCTCCTGTGTGAGTCCTCTGGTGTATCACCAGGAGGGAATTCTTAGTGAACCTTTTCCCACATTCAGGACATTCAAAGGGTTTCTCTCCTGTGTGAGTCCTCTGATGTCTCACCAGGAAGGAATTTGCAACAAAACGTTTCCCACACTCAGGACATTCAAAGGATTTTTCTCTTGTGTGATTCCTCTGGTGTCTCACCAGGTTGGAACTGTGAGTGAAACTTTTCCCACATTCAGGACATTCAAAGGGTTTCTCTCCTGTGTGAGTTCTCTGGTGTATCACCAGGCTGGAATTCCGAGTGAAAGATTTCCCACAATCCGAACATTCAAAGGGTTTCTCTCCGGTGTGAGACATATGGTGTTTCACTAGGTAGGAATTTACAGCAAAACGTTTCTCACAAACTGGAGACTCCTATGGTTCCTCTCCTGTGTGAATTACTTTGCTTGGTAAAGCATTTACTACATTGGGAGTACTTATAGGGCATCTGTCCTGTGTGGGTCCTTTTATAAACCAGAAGGGAGATATTCTGACCAAAGATTTTGTTACATTAGTAGCATTTGTATGCCTTTTTTCCAGTTTGGATCCTCTTGTATGTAATCACCTATGCTTTTGCAATCTGTGCTTTATACCACAATAGTGACATCTGTGGACCTTTTTCACCACTGTTATGTTGGAGGAAGTCAAAAATATGTGTGGTCCCTTCTTTAGTGGGGCTTTGATTTCACCTACTGTTTTCTTCCTCCCATTGGGAGTTCTGCATTGCTGTTTGCTCTATTTGAGTATCCAATTGACCTTTTCTTCCCCACTGACTTCCAGATATTTCCC